GAGAGAGAGAGAGAGAGAGAGAGAGAAGTGAGACAGGGGAACAGAGAGAGTGAGAGAGTCACCTACCTTGGATGAGGATGCTGGATAGGGGTTGCTGGACTCTGCGCTGATGAGCGCTGGTGACTGGAACTCTGAAACTGTCTAATATGATAATTTGTTGGAATTTCTAAGCTGCGCTTATCTGGACTTTGCATCCCTGGTCTCCAGTGTGGATTTCGTGTGATCTCTCAATGTGTGTGTAAGCTCAAGGTGACGAACAGTGTGGTTCAATGCATAAATATTAAAAAAATAGTAAAATACCCTATTCTGCACAGGCCAGAGTGTTTTGTTCCCCTGGACTGATCTGGGAAAATTCATCCTGCCGGATTAATCTAAAGAAAAAAAAGTGGGCCAGAGAACCGGCTGTGGTGCCTAGATACCAGAATCTGGCTAAAATCGTAATCAGACACATCCGACAAGTGTGCGTAAGCACTATCAACAGAATCTGGGTGTAGATGTGGTCAGGTACCTCCTACAAGTGTGTGTCGGTTCTGAAGAAAACCAGCGGCCATAACTAAGACAAATAAAGAACGGGCAAAAGAAGATCACGGCAAGTCTAAGCTAAACAAGAGTACTCACACTTGCTCACGTTCCACAGAATCTGGCAATGCTTGTGATCATATCATACTTGCAAGCGGACGCCGTCCGGGCGGTTCCGCACGTGCGGCAGACCGCCGGACCGGACCCGCGCGGCGCACGAATGTGCGCCCGACGACCAGTTACGCCCCACCCCAAAAAAAAAATAAAAAAATGGCCCTGTCCGGTCCAGTCCGGGTCCGTCTGGTCTGGGGGAGGGTCCCGCACGCGGCAAAGCCGACTGGACCGGACGCTCGTCCGGTCCGTCTGATTGCAAGTATGGATCATATGCATCCCTTTATAGTCCACAAGTGCGAGCATGCCAGCAAACCCGTGGCATAGATGCATGACCGAACTCACTTTTGCCGCAGGAACTGACACGAAAGAAATGGACAAAACTAGGACACCCAACCAGAAACACAGTGACACCCTGAAGCCAACTGCATTGTTGAGAGTCTTGAGATTCAACCAACCTTTTTTTTTTTGTAAAATCGGAAATTCGGAATGCATTGTATTATTATCTTTAATTCTTATTAGCAAAAAGGAGTCCGGGAATCCCTCCACAACCTGAAGCCAACTGCATTGTTGAGACATTCAACCACCCTACTTCCAAGAGAACCCATGGGCCATGAAAACTAGATATAGAGCTAGGCTACCAGAGTAGCCTGCGACAACTTGCCCGGCCGGGCCGGAAAAATACAAAATTAAAAATAAAATAAAATTTGTTTTTTTTAACTTTTTTTTAATATTTGTTTTAAATTTATTTTTCATTTAAAATTAGGTGAAGAATTTCGATGTGACCCTGAGGCAAAAGTTGTTCAGTTTATTTTTCTGCATAACATTTGTTTTTTTCATAATTTTTTGATTTTTTGATTTTTTTTTTTTTTTTTTTTTTTTTTTTTTTTTTTTTTTTTTGCTGGGACCTCCTACGATCCTTACACGGCCGGGCAGCCCGGATGGTAGCCTAGATATAGGGTACAAAAACTACAAATATTTCCACCATTGAACAGGAAAGCCGTAACAAAAGTGGTAGGAGCAGCACCCACACATCTGAAATGAGCAATGACCTCCCTACAAACATTGCCAATAATGAAATGAGCACTGCCTTCCCTACAAACATTGCAAGCCCGGTTGGGATGTCTGAGAGGGGGGTTCTTCACACGGACCACCGAGTTCAGCCGGGTTTTCAGGTTAGTAAGGCACATACCTCTGCAAGATCCACAGAGTGCTTGGCCACGAGACTCAGGCATGCACAAACCTGGAGCAACAAGAAATCCATCAAATGAAGGCACCATCCAAATGGTTATATAATTGTGCTGCTGCTCCATTCAGAAAAAAACAACAGGTTCTGACGTTCACAACTTCGCACAGCAGTCCAGTTCAAGAGGTTTTTCCTCCTGGCAACCTACCAGTAGCCTGTTGCTGATGACACTGCTGACCCTATTCTATCCAGCATGATTAGGATCATAATTGCATTTCGCTTTCTTGCTGTGTGCCCTTGTCAGAGACGAACCCTTTGTAAGTTTGCACACTCCATTGCAAGAATGGATGAGACATTCGCAATATAAAACAAGAGATGTACGTTTTAAGTTTTAACATTTAATAATACTAAACTAAATGGCCTGCCGTGGCTTTGCCTGGAAAAGAGAAGAACTATGAGGCAAGTGCACATGCCATTTTTCTGTTGTCTACGAACTCAGGTGATTCTTTTGATAAGCCACAGACGTTCAGGTGGGAATTCATTAAGCAATGGGGCGGGGGGGGGGGGGGGGGGGGGGGGAGGGTTGTGATGAAAGTGAAGATTGTGTAGTTGGACGTAGTAGATTGTAGTATCGGTCCACCTGTGTTTGTTGTGCGCACACCGTACTTTTGATGACTCACATACATTTAGGTGGGAGTTCATCCAGGGGGTAGGTTGCAACGAAAGTAAACATGGCATGATTGTACGTAGTCTTTTGAAAAAGTAAATCGAAGTATAGCTGGTTATATTCCTTGTGCGCACATGGACCTGTCAACGAGCTCAGAATCCCCAGATTGAAATCTGCAACCATGTCATGGCCACCGTGGGTGGGCCTGAACACCAAACCATCCAGGCAACCACGTCCAGGTGGTCAAGGGCGATCCAGGGTCTAAATCTCATCCAGACAGATTGACAGACAGAGAGAGAGAGAACTTTCAAGTGAGCAACGTCAACTGCAGTCACAACCCAGTAGTTGGAAAAAGGTGTTGAGCCTCATCCATGAACCTGCACTCTACCTCTATCTCACAGTAACCGATCCACTGCAGTCCATGCAAAGTGCACTGCTGTTGTGTTTTTAAAAAGCGGCTCGAACGTACTGGTGGTTCAAAATGACGAAAAAGAAAGGTGACGCTGCAAATTGGCAAATGGTGGGCTCCATTTTCGTTACTTCATAATTGTATCATCATCACTAGTCTTTTCTGGTGTAGTGAACGATTATTATTACAACCTTTCTTCTTCTTCTTCTTTTTTTTTTTTTTTTTTTTTTTTTTTTTTTTTTTTTTTTTTTAACAGATCCTTATGGTCCTGGCTCCATATCCATTCTGGGGAGCGTCAGTCCGGTTCCTATTCCCCCAGCAACGGCGGCAAGTCAAAAACGGATTACATCATATTACCCACTCAACGCTTCCTTCCGTCTGGCCGAAGGACCCCTGATCAGCATTGATTGCTCCTTCTAAGGAGGATTGACTGTCAGCTCGCCCCTGACCATTTGTTCCTCTCAGGCTTCTATTTAGAGCCTGTCGAATGAGTCCTCGTAATACGAAAACAGTGGGGGGGTCTGCTCTGTGTTCTGTTGCTTGTCCTTGTCTTTCCCCGTGTGGCTGGTCCTCTTTTTGTTGATCACCATTCAGAACCTTCTGCCAGGTCCCCCGGCATGTATCCTCGTGTCTTCATGCTTCTGCCTGGTGCCATTTCTTCCATCTCAGTCTACTGTCTACTATCGTTACCACCTTGCCTTTTAGCAACCAGATCCTTATGAAAGTCCTTGGTTGCTTGTCTTTCTGGTCTGTGTCTCGTAGAGTTTGCCATTCTCCGCCATCTGCTCCTGATTTCTGTCTCTGCCATGCTCAGCAGTACTGACCACATTTCGTCGCTTGCCACCTCTGTTCCCTCGATTGTCTGAGTACATCTGCGTTTCCATATCACCCACATTGCCAGCTTCCTGAGTAGGGTGAACCATGCTTCCCTGCTGCCTGTGATGTTGCTGGGGATGTTAGTTAGAAGTAGGATAGATAGGGGGGATGTTTTTTTGGGGGGGGCAGCGAACAGGATCGACCATAGCTCGCGGATCTTCTTCCATATCCAGATTGCTTCAGGGCAGAAGAGGAGGCAATGGGGGATGTCTTCGGGTGAGTCGTTGCTGCACATTGAACAGCATGCCGAGCTATCAGGATCAGAATGTTTCCTTCTCTCGTGTAACCATTGGTTGACTGGCAGGGCTGCATGTGCTATTAGCCATTGCATACTTCGGATTCTACTTGGTCTGATGAGAAGGTATTTGGTCCATGTGATGGAGATGGGGGTCGTGGTGTCTAGGTTCAGTATGGTTCGCCATTTCTCTGCCAGCCTTGGATTCGCGTCTTTGGTTTGTAGCCCTCTTAACGTCGTATTCTGTTATCCTTCTCGATTTACTGGCGGCGCCCAGATCCCAGATCCATTCCTTTGGGTCGAATTCCAACTCGTTGATGCTGAGTTCCGGCTGGAATATAAGCCAGGGTGTCTTGTGAGAGACTCTAACCTTCCTGAGAAGGTAGGTTTCTATTTGTTCGTTCTGTGGTGTTTTGTTTAGGATCTCTAGTTCATATAGGCCGTGTTTGATGATGCGGGAGGATACAATCCTGGCCTGGTAGCTGATTAAGTCCGGTTTTGACACAAAACAGTAGGCTTTCGTTGGTGGGGTCTGTGTGATGAGCAGTCCCCAGTCTCCTGGTTTCCACGTATGTGTCTCTTTTAGGAGGGTCGTCCATGGGGGGGGATTGCTTTGGAGGATTTCGTACAGGTTGATGGTAGATGGCAGCCTTTCAAGGGAGTGCAGAGGTCCTGTGCGGTGAGCCATTCTTGTCGGTCTTCGGACCACAGATGTTTGACCTGCCATACTCCTCTCTCCACCCATGACAGCCATCTGCGGTCTTTGCCCCCGAGAGTCCACGGTCTGCCCTCCGTGTCTTTGATCCAGGGATTGCAGAACAGGGGTTGTCGTAGGACTTCCTCTTTGTTGCTCGGGGGTCCTTTCTTTTCTGGCATCAAACGGCGCCAGGTCTTCAGGATCGGAGACCAGTAGGGGGTGGGTGTAGTGGGGGGTTGAATGGGGGTCACTGGTTAGTTTTCCTTACTGGTCTCCCCGATTTGATTGTCCATTCCTTTGCCATGATCCAGAATAGGCCACTCATGTTCGGTTGGGTCACTGCTGATGCCAAATTCCTTATGCTGTCTATCGCCATCGTGGTCCACGGGAGGGCTTGTTTGGTTAAGATTTTTAGTATCCATTTGATTTGGAGGGCGATCGTTTCCTGTTTAGGGTCGATTATACCTAGCCCTCCTTGTGGTTTCCTGATGACAGTTTGCCAAGCCACCTTGTTTATGCAGGTGGTTCAGTTGGGGTCGTCAGTCCACAAATAGCACCTGGCTCTCGCCTTCAACTTCTTCAGGTCGTCGTCACCATATGGAGGCCGTATACCACAAGGTGGAGAAATACTGATGTGTTGATAATCAGGGCTCTCCCTAGTAGGGAGGCCTGGGCTTTGTTGCAGGTGGCGAAACGGGTTATTGCTCTGGTGAGTAGTGACTCTCCCATCCCTTACCAGATGCCATCCCTGTTTACCATGATGCCTAGATATCGAAGTGTTTGGTCGTCTGTAGTCCAAGACATTGGGGTGGATGGGTCTAGGGGTTGGGGGGGGGGTGCCTTCTGCGAGCCACCACCCTTCCGTTTTCAGCCAGTTCACCTTCATTTCTGAGGCGAGTCTGAAGGTTTCCATGGCGCGGGCCAGGGCCTCGAAGGAGGAGTTGTTAGCGCGGCTGAGGACCGTGAGATCGTCTGCGAACATTTGTGCAATGGGGAGAGCAAAATCGTGGAGGGGGTTGTAGTTTTGTTCGGTGAGGCGGTCTATGGATGGGTCCTTGTGCAGGAAAGATGCGATGGCTTCCATTATGAACAGGAATATTGGGGGTGCAAGGGGGTCGCCTTGCCGGACGGATCTCGATATCGGGTAGGTTTCTGACAGTATTCTGTTTATCTGCACCTTGCCCGTGGCATCCCCATAATGTACTCTAACCCATTCTCTGAAGTTTGGGCCGACTCCCATCTTCTCCATGCAGTTGTGGAGAAGTGATTTGATGTGGTCGGAGAAAGCTAGGCGTTCGGCTTCCGTGTTGGGGGCGTATAGGTTCAGGATTCTGATCTCTTCCCCTTGCCATGTAATTTGGATCCATGACCATATTCCTTCCGCTGTGCCTCCTTCGCCATTATTTACTAGACCCTCAGACCAGATTTTGGAAGTAGTTGGTACGAGGATTGTTGTGCCGCGGTTGCTTTGGTCCGCGTTGTTGGACCACAGTGAGAAAGGGCATCCCCCTAAGCTTTTCTCCACTGTTCTCTTTATTGTGGTATGGTTAGTGATATTGGATAGGTGGGTCTCTTGTAGGAGAATGATGTCGGGTTTGGGCTTTCTTTATTCTATGAGGCCGAGTCTGATGTCTCGTAGTTTGTCGTCTTCGGTGAGAATGTTGCCCAGGCCATTGACATTCCAGTTGTGGATCGTCAGACCCCTTGCTTGCCAGTCCATTCTCACTGTCCCATACTGATTTTTGTTGTTGTCCATTTGATTACATCTGACGGGTTGCTGTGTTAAGGGTAGCGGTTGTGGTGCGGAGTACAGCTAGGGAGGGGGGGTTGGGGTCTCTAATCAGCCGCTGCCTTGGTCCCTGCGCTGTCAGCTCCGATTCCTCCGGTCCGTCCGCTACCGTCGTTCGCCCTTCTCCCGGCGGCGGATCCCAGGCTGTATCCTCCCATGCTGCCCTCGGGTGCTGGGCTGGTACCGGTCTCGTTACAACCCGGGGATATCTTGTCGTTCAACCCGTCGTCGTCGTCGTACTCCCTCATGTGCCTATCCTCATCCTCCGGTTCCAGGTACAACGGCTCAGCTTCGTCTTGTAGGGAGCGTTTCGTGGATAGGATGTGGGATCTGATGATGGCGGCCAGGGAATCGGCCATGACCTCCGCTGGACACATCTTGCCT